TCCATTTTGTGTTCCTTGTCACGTATGCGGACAGCCCCACTTGCGTCAATTGCAACATGTTTGTCCTCACGCTGGGATGAGTTCAAGACCTCCTGTTCTTTCGAAGTGCACCTGCTAAGTTCAACATGCTGCAATCTGTTTTCCTCGTACAAGGACACTGCAAGATCGACCAGTCTGTCGCTTGGTTCCAGTTTTCCTTCAGTACGGATACCTTTGAGTTTGGATTGCTGACGTTTCAACCTATCTGCACGTTCAGGCTGTGCTAGTTTCTTTACTGGCATGTCCTCAACTCGTTCAACTGAGTGCTTAAGCTCCGCTGCTGTAAGGCTGTAGGCCTCGTGAAAGAGCCTCCTCAGTGAAGCAAGTTGTCCAAGGGTTGGATCTGCACCTAAAGCAGTTGTCATGGCCGTCACGAATGGGGCCTCATCTGAGTTTCCTGGGACATATGCAGAACTGAAGGCAAACTTTGCAAGTGTGTTTACACCATTAGTGCACAAGGCTTCAACGACGTCATCTGCCAATCCAAGCGCAACCGCTCGGGCCCTGAAGTTTGGCTCACTGTCAGTGAGTGACATTGCAGATTAACTCCTAAAGGCAAGAAACGGAATCAGTTTATCATGAAGGTATTGAAGGATTACCTTAGGTCAGGACTATGGGTAATTGAGGAAACTCCTATTAAAGCAAAGGATTATGGGTGTGTCTGACAGTCTTATGAAATCATGCATTTGTGTTGCATGGGATCCCAAGTGGACCCCCTTCGACAAGGCGTCAAGTACGCCGCTTGAACCAGCACATCAACCAAGTGTTGATTGACCCAATTGGTCACGCCCAAATGGCACTCAGGTTCAATTGTTGCGCAACATGCATTACTGCTCATGCGTTTCAAGATTCCAAAAAGAAAATGAATCATGGTTTCAAGTTGTCAGCATGGTCACACAGGGTCAGGAAGTTTTTTCATCTCAGCCACGGGCATCTCTGAAACACTGGCTGCATTGTGGTGACATAAACTTCGGCCTAATCTCAAGCTCTTCATATTTGTTATTGATCTCCCTGCCGCATCGAAACTTGTTGCCCCCCTCCTCTGAAAGCAAATGAATGTATCTGGTGAATCGGTTCCTGAAGAGCGGGGCGTCCTCTTGAACTCCCAGGGCTTCAAGAGTTGCATGTTCATTCCATGAGCCTACCACGTGGTCCATGGCTGCCTCATTCATGTTTTGTTCCTCAAAGGCATGCTCATCGTCGCGGGAGTCTTCAGAGTCTGTGTCACTGAAATCCACTACCGTGTCAGTTTCAGGGGTGCCAACTCCAGAAAGGGCCTGTTCATTTTCAGGCTCAAGTCGACGACCCTGCATTGGAAAGTACCCAGATCGCGTGGCATCAGGGACAAAGGTCTCCTCCCTGACACAAGCAAGGCATTCCTCAAGCTTCCTAACCGGTCCAGCAGATGCATCACGTGAATACAGCAGGGCCATCTTGTCGGCACTCGGCATATGATATCCCAAATGTTGCCTGATACTGATTGGGGCCCCAAACTTGGCCATCCAGCTGAGTGTTGTGGTCTTGAGCGAATGTGTCCCGATGTTCCCAAGCGCTCCAAGCGGGATACCCGACACCTGCAGCAGTTGCCGCAACCAGTCAGCACCTTCTCCAGCTCCAAGAGGTGTCTTTGTCCATCCGCCCTTGGAAGGATATGGCAGCATCGGCATAGCTTCACCCCTCGGTTTTCCACACCTGACACCAACTTCCCTCCAGGTGGTGAACCAGTCAGCTCCGGTAACACCAAAACGCGGTGCAACCATCGGCAGGTACTTCGTTTTCATCTCGGTTGTGTAGGCTGATTTTGTTCGACCGACTTCCCTTCAATGTACCCATGGGGGCTCCCATCAACGACAATTTCATCCAAAATGAGATCCTGCAAGTTCATCATATCTGAAAAACGGGCCCTGAAGAAAATGCACAACAAGAAACATCCTGCCGCCACCCGGTCTCGGTCTGGATACCTGTCAGCCATGACAATCTTCTCCAGGTGTTCGACCATTGCAACACTAAGAGGGTCCTTCTGCAGGGTTCGTCTCTTCTTCAGATAAGCTTCACGTGCACACCCTTCTACCCTTTTGCTTGCAAGGACTGTATCTCCACCAGTAACCCCAAGGACATGGAAAGAAAACCTGATTGCAACCAAATAAGACCGTAGAAATGTTGGTGCAGAAGTGTCAGCATGTTCACACATGAAATTGTAAACCGTAGCCTCAACCAAAGGAAATGCTGGAATGCCGTTCTTGTCACACCACATGATATACCGCAGGACTGGGCTTGCACGCGCATGCAGAGTTCCTGTAGCCTTACCTGCAAAAATGTGCTTCAGACCATCACCCAAGGCCTGTCCCATAGGTGACAAGCGGTCCCACTGTCTGCCAATTTCAAATGAATTCAAATACATCATAATGATTCCAGCCCACTTCCGAATCGCTGCAACCCGCTGAGAATTGAGCAAGGCCTCCCAGGAACGTCCTGTCACAGTTCTCTTGGCTCTGAAGATCCTCAACGCCTCAGGTCTGTCAGAAGCTTCGTCATCACCTTCATGCTCAGGGGTGGCCACTGCAATCACTCCACAAGGCTTTGGAACCAGAGGTATACTGCTGCCAGGAACTGAAATTGGAGGGCGCGCAACATAAATTGGATTGAAAATTGACCCCCACACTGCACGTTTTGAAAAAGCCAAATGCGATTCATAAGCATCCATGTCATTACAGCTCATCCCCACTTTCAAACCAAAGTAAATAGGCAATGGCTGCGAAAAATCCCACAGTGAATGACAAAATGCCACAGCAGACCAAAAGTGGAAAAGAATTGGATGACACATGCACTGATGGAGTCCGAAGTGCAGCCAGCCCCTTCTGGAGAGCCGATGCAGTGCGGAAGGCCGCGGGCATCAACGTATGAACAAAAACAGTTGGCCAACTGCCAACGAGCTCACTTGAGGGGAAACTGCATCACTCACAGATTACGCAGTGACCCCAGATAACAAACATTCCACAAACCAGGTTGAATGTTTCAAACAGTTGGGGTTCAAACGAAACAGAAGTTAAAAAGAAACACAAACAAAAAGTCTCTCGCAAACACAGAGTGTTTCTTCTCGCCTCCAACCCCTCCTACTTTTTTTTTTGGGGGGGGGGTTCTTTTTTTTTTTGGTTGAGGTGGCGCACGCCACACCTGCGAGTTGATAAGGTAACAAGGCTAGCGCCTAGTGAAACATCAAATCGTACCAGGTATCTCTTCAGAACGATATCTATCTTCCAATACCAGATCATCAACTGATCGAAGGAACCATGGCGTCAATTCGCGACCAACTACGGTGCTGTTTGTGGTTCCCTAGAACAAACGAAAAACACCAACAACACACACACACACGAGATCCAAGACGAAGACAGACGAAGCACTGTCGGAGTCAACACAAAAACAAAGGCCGACTGTTTCAGCTAATCCGCATCCTCCAATGGAAGATAAGCGTGTCAGACAAGCGAAACTGTCGTTAGTTCAACAATACTCAGACAAAACTCCACATTCGTGGTATCACTAGTCTTAAACGTGATTACATAGTTGTACCACGCAAACTCAGCTTCAAACAAGCTATATACTATATGTGCTGAGCTTCGGACACGCTAGATACCAAGCGCTTTAAGTTTCGGGCACGCAGGGTACTAGATGCACTAAGCTCAGGGCAAGTCTCCAAGGCTGGACCTTGTCCCCCTTTTGAGATAAAGTCCATCAACCTTCAAAATGAATTCTGGCCATCATAAAAGCTGATCTATTACGTTCTACATGGACTTCAATCTTCTTATTAATTATATATATATTTTTTTTTTACTTACTTAAATATATATAATTAAAAAACAGTATAAATAAATCTCAGCTTCCAAACGAGTTGAAGTTCTAATGAAATGCAAAGGCACTCGGGCTTTATATTCATTTCCCTTTTTTCGCTTGCTGGATGTAATTTGATCTCCAGGTTCACAACCAATACATTTCTTTGGTTGAATTTTCAGATGGATATCAAAACCCCGGCATAACAACGCACAAGTCATTGGGTAAAAAATGAAAAACCAACTGAATGTGTGTTGTTGTTGATTTTTTTTTGGGGGGGGGTGAGATATCCACTGTGGTAACTTCCGATCCTTGGGAAAAGGAAGTGATTGTCGCAAATAACGCATGGTGAATGCAAACGGAAATTAGTGAAACATGCTGCAACGGCTGCAAAAGGATGACACCTACGGTGGTCAATATTCCTCGATGTGGAGGATGAATGAATGTTTCCAATCAGGGCAGACGAATGCTGGTATCTCCGGTTGGAGAACGGATGCTGTGAAAAAACGAAGGAGATCTCAATGGATACGATCCTTGAATTTGGTCTTAGGATTTTCCCAAGGTACCAAAGTGTCGAAACATGGAAGCTGTGGAGAATCATAATTCTCCATCCCGAAATAATACAAGACAATGGATAAGAAATAAGGAGTGGGATGGGTGGGTTTTTTTATGAATGTATAAAACGCAATCAAACAGAAACGCAAAGAAGATTGAAGTCCAGCTTGATCCAAAATGTTTCAGGGAAACAAAGATCTGAAAGTACCCTGTAAAACATAAACGAAACAAGTACGTTAAACGTTCTACATGGACTTCAATCTTCTTATTAATTATATATATATATATATATTTATTTACTTACTTAAATATATATAATTAAAAAACAGTATAAATAAATCTCAGCTTCCAAACGAGTTGAAGCTCTAATGAAATGCAAAGGCACTCGGGCTTTATATTCATTTCCCTTTTTTCGCTTGCTGGATGTAATTTGATCTCCAGGTTCACAACCAATACATTTCTTTGGTTGAATTTTCAGATGGATATCAAAACCCCTAATTTAACTATCTGGGAATTCAACTCGCCGAACATAAACCCCAATTGAAAAGTGAGGGGAATTCCAGCAAGCGAAAATCGGGAGGCTACCAGCTAGGCAACGTCCAAGGAATGGTGGCCTGTGTTGGAACTAATGTTGGCGATCTACGGATGTTCCATAAGTCTGAAAGGGAGATACGGATGCGATCTGTCAATCGGAAATCATGTGGTGGGCTTCCGGATTGGTCCCACCTGCTGAGGTCGTCTGCCAAGATGTTTTGTGAGCCTGGAATGTGGCTCACGTCAATCTCGATTCCTAAGATGGCTGACATCAGGCACATGCGTTCCAGGAAAATGGCAAGGGGATAGGTCATGCTCCAAAGTTTATTACTTCCGGATTCGGCTCCACTGTTGTCACTCAAACTTTTTAAACAAATTGGCATGCGATGAGCTGGAAAAAATTGAGCTGTCACGAACAGTAAGGCGATTTGAGCCAAGGTCTCAAAAGAGGAGATGGATCGTTGCATTTCGGATTCCAACTCAATGTTCAAGTTTGCAAAATCTGAATGTGAATAAATTTCTGAAAACCAGTATACTTTGCCGGAGTCGGATTTGACAAATCCCCCAATTTCACATGTGTCACCAGCTGCACATGCGTCTGCAGCAGCAATCCCAGGCCAGTATGTCTTGGGTGTCAAAGGTTTCATGGGGGATAAGCCTGAAAGCCATAACATAAATTGTTGAACAATACGCAAGCTCGAAGGTGAAAGTTTGCGTTTGGTGGAAGCGGGGTCTCTGATGCGAAGCCAAATTCGTTTATTGGATACATGTACTTTGGCCAAATCATTCTTGGTTTGAACAGTTTGATGACGCACCGCCAGGAGTTGTCCACCAATTGGCAAGGCCGTCCCAGATGGACGAGAGGTGAAATTCAAATTGTCATCCAAATAAGATGAAAAAGCTCGCCAATCACCATTGTCAATACTGTAATGTGTAGCAGGAATGGAATACAAATCATGGTACCAGTGTCGAATCCAAATTCGCATGTACGGCCAAAGTTGAGTTAACCAAAGGGCCAGGCCGATCAACTTCTCCAAATTGCGCTTGGAGGTACGGGAGCTCCGCCCCATTGATCGCAAATAATCTTGGAATTTCTTGATTTTGGTGACCGGGATTTCGACAAACCCTGACCTCAAGTGAATTTTCCATCCAATCCATTGTATGCTGAATGCCAACTCGCATTTTTGCCAAGACACAGGGATGTTTGTAATCTGACTCAGGATACAGATCATTGTAGCCGAGAGTGGCATGCTGAATAATGATTGGAAGAACAAGAAGTCATCAACGTATAACAAGGCAACGTGTGACCACCAAACAAGAAAGTGGAAGAGCCTGAGCATCCAGCCACCAAGTCTGGACCACCACGCTGCCGAGAAGGTGGCTCCGAACGGAGCGACTCTATAAAAGTACAACTTGCCCTGCACAGTAAAGCCTAGAAGTCCATGTTCTTCTTCTCGAACGAAGATTCTCTTGTGGGCTGACTTAATGTCTAACGAAAATCCCATATGGTCGCCAGAAAAATTCCTAATTGGGAATGTGCGCAACACGTCCTTGATAGAAGGCAATGTACTCCGCTCAGGTATACGGCACCTGCCGTTGAGGCCGCAGATGGTCTGGTCAAGGACCAGGCGTGGTGCTCTGCCTTCCGAGTGTGCAATTCCTAATTTGCCTAAGGCAACGCCCAATGGAAATTGTTGTTGTGCATCCTGTAATGATCCATCAAATTCAAAAACCCAACCGTTCGCTATCTCCTGTTGCACGAGACTTTGGGTGAGCGCAATGTCATCTTCTGCGCTCTGCCAGTTAACATGGTGAGCTGAGAGCGGTGGCTCGGCAACGTCAGTAGGATCACTCATAGGAAAGCAATTGCTTGGCGTAATATCATGTTGAAATCCAGTGCCCACGCCTGCAATGAGTGCTGGGAAAAGAGATTGGTCAGGATCGCGCATCAATTGATTGAGACATTGTAAAATCTCCAAACACATTGGTTGGTGGGGCCGAACCTGCCAGTCAGGTGAAAAGCCCGAATTTCGCAAAAAATTATCCAAATCTTGTTTGAAAGGAGCCAAGACCGCATCTGAAAATGGTGGATGCGCATGCACCTCCTGAGAAAAATATTGCAACAGATCTTTATCCAATCGTTGATCAATGATTCGTCGCATCCACTGCTTCCGCAAAGGGCCAAAAACATCAGGGGCCGAACGTTCTCCCATGCTCCAATCAGGATTAGACGGTAAGCCACCGCCATCCTCTTGTCCAAAAGGCGGTTGCAGTGGTTCCTTCTTAGGTGGAATAAACTGGATGTCATCCCACTTCCAATCATGGGATGTCTGGTGAACCAATGGTGTAACCAGAGGTGCAAATTTTGTTGCCAATGCCTCTGGGTAGCATGCAGTCTGGCGACTTAAATATTCCCCCGTTTCTGATCGGGTTCCGACCAAGGACTGATGGCTCCCTGCAGGGTGTGAACACAAGCAACCAAGTGCAGAAATAGGTTGCCAACTACTTGCAAACATCCATTGTTTGTACCAACTTTTGCCGTACTCACATGCAGAAATGATTGTGCACCAGGCCGAAACAAGCAATAAAAAGGACTTCACGCATTCCTCCAGCCAACTCATAGCTGAAGGTGGTTGCTCTAGGTGGGCATGTCCGCCCGCTTGAAAAATCAAAGTTAAGCAGGTAATGGTTCTGGATAGCATCATAAACGACTCTTGCACCTGCAAAAGTTCGGCACTGCTGAGGCCTGGGACTCCATCCAAAAATTCTGGTGTACGCAATGCTTTGGGTCCTGGCCGGTGTAACTTTAACCTGGAATAATGGGCACAAGAAGGAGATGCCGCACCATAGGCAACCTGGCCTGATGAACATATGCGCAAGAGTTGTTCGTAACTCCCATCATTCAGTAGATCCATCCGCTGATCTAAGAGGATATCAAAGGACAATACATTCCCATGCTGTGCCAAAATGGCTGAACTCAAAGGTCTGGTGGCACCGGAACATATATCCAGGAACAACTTGGAGTCCCCCTGATTGAAGTTAGGTAATGAAGGTGAAATTAATGTTGGTGAAACCGATGGAACCTCTGGCTCTCCCTGGGTCATTTCGACCTCTGTAGCCTCCTTAGGAGGAATGTCGGGAGCTACTGCCACAGCCACGGCACTGGTTGAGGCCGCTGAACCTGAGGTTCCTGCTTCTGATTGCTCTAGTCAGTGAGTTGTATTCTGATGCTGCAATGCTCCATGCTCCAAGCCGCATGCCTGTCCATTCACTGGGTAGGCGCAAGCATGATGAAAACGGCAGGAATCGCCTAAAGAGCAATTCCCTGTTTGATACCTCATGCACAACTGTTTCCACTGACCTTCTTTGGTTTTTGCATCTGTCAACCATTGAACCTTGCCTTTGCCTTTTGATTTTCCTTTACCCTTGGAGGGTTTGCCTTTGCCCTTGCTCTTGGATGGACCTGAAAAGCTGGGCTGTGATGGGGCCGAAGGGATCTTCATTGGACGTGGCCTCAATTGCAAAAGTCCTGGCAGGTCATGACGAATGTGTGTGAACTCGTGTAGGCAATTATCCATATCCCATCCACGCTCTGACATTAAATCTGCAATTGCAGCCCAGATTTGGCGGTCCGCTGACTGCGCTTCTGTAATGGATGCACAACGCAACATGCTCTCTGGGTCCACCTTCTGGGTCAGGAGGCCGAGAATTTTGCTGAGTAGGCCTTGAGGTTGGCCAAATGGGCTCCACCGCACATTGCCACTGCCATGTCATGAACGGCCAACAGATTTCGGACTGCATTAACTCCAAATCCTGTGTTTGATATATCAATGGCTGGTGGTTCATCCACCAACAAATGATGTAAGGAGGCTACCTCCAATTTTGGCATCTTGGTCTGTCGCTGAGAGGTGACCTCTTCGGATTTCGCCATGGTCAATCTATATTTCCAGGGGATCCATGCCCATTGTTTCTTGCCCAATTGATGGTGCACAAGGTTAAGCAGTCTCGTGCTTGGCATGGTATCATGATTGACCAACTCTGAAGGGTAACTGGCCAAAAATTTGGTTTTCATCTGATCAATCACTGTTGCATCTAACTTCGGTGGAAAACTCTCCGCCCAAGTTCCAGGATTCGCCATAGGATCCGAAGCCGCTGAGGCAGGTGCAGCCTGGTTATTGGTTAATGCTGGTTGTGTCATTTCTTGACACATCTTGAACGCAGCCCTCAGCGAAGCTTTCTGCAGCAGTGAAGGTTCTTCCTCTGGAAAAAACTCCGGCCACAGGCGATCAAACGCTTCTAAATTCACCGCAGCACACGCAAATGTTGGAACCGTCCAGCCCATTTGCACCAGCTGTGATGCAATGACTGGTTCAACGCCACATGCCGACATGGCATCCTCTAATGACTTTGTAGTCATGACGCAATTTCCTAAACAAAGGAAAAATTAACGCCGAGTATTCTCATCAGGAGATGAGGATTAATGCATGAAATTGACGCCTGCCTTGATGTTGTGAAAACCTGTTGAATGATAAACAAAAAATTTGGCCCATGGAAAAAACACACGCGACTGACCTATCTGAACTGCGAAACGAGCTGAGTGCCGGACTTAAAGGAAATGGGTCATTCCTTGTCCACATAGTCATGGGGATACCTTTGATCTTTTTGTCACCGGTATGTTCTTGTTTTTTTTACAAATTCTTTTTTTTTAAATGGCTGCGGAAAAGAGCATATATTGAGCCATGATGCAAGCACATAACTGTGGAGGAATTGAGAAAAAATGTGATTGTGAAGTCATGCACATCAAGTTTGTGGAACGCTGCCGATGAAACCCCTGCTGCAGGGGCATGAAATGATTTCTTGACTGCGATTTCTCAACGTTGTGAGTGCAGCTCTGAACGCTTTTTTCTTTTTTGTGGTGCAAATTCCAGTCACTGCAAATTTGTGGCTGCCCACACCCTCTTACAACCTGCATGTTGGCAAAATGCCATAGAAGGGTGCCATTCATCCAAAAATTCAGTTTCCGAATGTCTCATACGCGCGCCACAGGACGCCTTCCACAAATGCCCCATGAAAAAAGGTCTGGACTCATTGCCGTCATCCATAATCACCATAGCATGGGTGACCCGTCGATGGCGAGCAAACACAGCTTCGTCCGCTTGTATTGGTTCCTGCTTCTTGGGGTTCATCTCCTGAGCTGACAAAGCCTGTTCAGAACCTTTGCTGTCAGTGTCACTGTCGCTGCTGCTGGAGTCCGTATCGGATTCTTCAGAGACCACCTCTTGAGCCGGTGGCAGTTCCTGGGGTTCCTCATGGTGATGAAATGGAAGCCATTCAAACCTGTAGTCAGGTGCCGCTTTTTTGTAGCGCTCTAAGACAACCGTTGGCTCCACAAGAGGAAACTGTCCCCCTCTATGTTGTGCAGTTTTAGGCCTCCATCCTTGTTGAATCTGTGATGTGACTGTCTGTTGATAACGGAGAGAACCCCAAACGCTATCGCGACCATACAGATTTAAAGATTGTTTCTGATCCTGGTGATGTCCTTGTAAAAGACGATCTGAGTCGCTGACCAAAGTGCCCAACTGTGGCCCAAAGCTCAAAAGCGTGGCTTTCATGGAATGAAGTGTGTAAGTCATCTGAAGCCGCTCTAATGGATGGTCCCCTTGAAAGCGCTTCCATGGGGTCATCAACATCGCTCTGAAAATTTTGGTTGTCCCCGCATAGTCCAATGGTTCAAACTCTGAGATGGTGCCATCCGGTTGCATGGCAGGAATCAAAAAATCACATTGTGAACGTGGAATTTGAAGATCCCTCATGAGCTGGTCCCATGTTTGCAAAAATTTGAAAAGCCAGGTGAATGTCCCTGTACTGCATAGGCCTGCTGCTTGTACCCCAAAGGGGTGGCCTGCTGCCATCGTCTTGGATCTCCAGACCAATCCACGTAGCTCCTGAAAATTAAATACAAGGGAGTCAACATTCAACCTCTGTGCGTCAGCGAAACGAAGACCTGCCCATGTGATAAGAAGGAATGCACCCAACATCATTGTTTCATAAACTGTTGCAGCACTCTGAAGGACCCGACGCTCCCATTGAAAGAGAAGCCAAAGAGGAAGCGGGGGTGCTTCCCTCTTATCCTTGCTCAACTTGGTCTTCAGGAAGCTGTCGACCAGCGGGGAAAAACAAATTTGAAAGTTGGTGACACCAGCGATTTTGTACCACCACCGCAGTGCTTTGATGGTAAAATTGCCGGAACTAACATCCCTATCCGTGTCACATGACCTGGATTGTTGCATCACTGTCAAAACATCGGCCAACTGGGATTCCGACAATGCATGAATGTCCATACCCAACTGTGTCGTCACGCGTACAAACTTCTGCACTGCTTGCAAGTAGCGAAAAACAGTGGTAGCAGCGTAGTTATTTAACAACCTCTTGCGATGTTCATCCGCAAATGGTGAAGAAACCAGTGAGCGATGGACCTCTGATGAATTGCCAAAAAATGCCAATAGCTCCGCAAATTGTGCAATCAAAAAGGGGTTGTCACTCGTCAACTTGGAGCGAGTCAACTGGATTGCTGTTGAGGGCCGCACTGAGGGGTAGGGCTTGTCCACCTGATCCCTAGTCCCTTTGTTGATAGGAGGGCATGGTAAAGCTGCAGCTGTGCTTGGGCGCAAGTCTGGCATTGAGATTCTGTCCAAATCTGACGGTGACTGTGAACTTGAGCTGGAACGCATTTGTAAGCTAACTGGATGGTATTCTGTACGAACTACCCTTTTATAAGGACATGCAACATGTGAAACATGGTGAGACAAGTTACTCCGTACGGGTTCATACCCTGGTACTGCTGCCGGAGCTGCTGCTGAGATCCCTGCCACCGTCAATCGAGGTCCTGAAAGCTGAAACCTGCTGTCACATGCCGGATTCCTTGCAGAAGCATGCATCATCGCAGGAAGTCTGGGTCGAAGCTCAAAAGTGGGTCTACTCAAAGGACATGATTTGGGTGTGGGTTGCAACAACTGAGTCGAAGGAACATCTGGGATAAGGTCCCAACTGTCTTCTCTAATCATCTGAGCTCCCATCCGCAACTGATGGAGTCTGAATTTCACGAAATCTGACAGTGAAGTTGTAAACCCGTGTAGAACACCAGCTAAGTCTCCAAATATCCGGAGGCAAAATCAAATCCTCTCGTTGATCGTACAGGTAGGAAACTATGATTGTACAAAGTTCAGCACGAATTGGAGAAGCAAAAATGTCAAGCCAGTTTGGGGCCCGATGTCGCAGGGCCAGCATGGCACACCCCGGTTCCCGGGAGGTGAATGCGATGTGAAACCAACAAATAAGGGACATATGCCATGAAAGTGCAACCCAACATGCTGAGACCCACCGTTAGATGCTGTCAAGTGAAAAACCCAAACTAAACGCAGCTGTTGTGAGAAAGTCACAGGTTGTTTTTTTAATGAATGTATAAAACGCAATCAAACAGAAACGCAAAGAAGATTGAAGTCCAGCTTGATCCAAAATGTTTCAGGGAAACAAAGATCTGAAAGTACCCTGTAAAACATAAACGAAACAAGTACGTTAAACATAGTCAAACAAAGAAAACAAATACCAAAACAAACTTACAAACACATATATTAACAATGTCAGGGAAAGCCATTCCACTGACATCAACGGACAAGATATCGACTAAACGTTCAGATCAAACACAAGATCTTACAGGTATTTCCATCAGACATTTAGCCTGGATCCTTACTGATTCTTCTTTAATTCAAGAATCGGATCTGGCCATGTCATCATCTGGAAAAATGGCGGCAGACAAACATAAGGCAAAATACAAACCACCATCAACAGTAAAACAACCACGATGCACAAACTCACAACGAATCCACAAACGTGTTCATGTGCAACACATACATGAGACCTTTCCTACCAAGAGTTGATCCTTCCAGGATACAACTCACATCCATGTTCATGTGCAATACATGCATGAGACCTTTCCTACCAAGAGCTGATCCTTCCAGGATACAACTCAACTCCACAATGCAAGCTTCTCACCCCCTTTCAAGATCTGCTTCCCTTCTCTCCTTTTTGCAGCGCAAAAGGATCCAGAGTGATCATAGCGAACACGTGCAAACTAGAGTGAACCTCGAGCTGGCCAGCGGTTAACAAACCAATTACCAACTATTCTCTCTATTGCACAAACTGCCAGGAATTGACAAAATATACAGACCCTGGACTCCATCCAAAGGACAGGAAACGGATCCCTTTCACAGCACTCAAAAGAGGACCTCTGAGAATGCTCCAGCCATTCTTGTCCTTCTAATAGATACGGCGGTACTGCTGCTTGCCGTCTCTCAGCATGCCGAGTCCATTCGGGGCCCACAGGGCCGTAATGGCTGAAATCTGGTCGCCACGATAAGGAGTGGGCGAAAGCGTTCGCAAAAACGCCACTGCCTGGGTCCCTCGTGACTATCCCAGTTCTCTGACTGGGAGTTGAAATACCCATCGGGACAGAGGGACGCTGTTCACCTGGACGCTCTGGGCAATAAACCATGAACAAAGAATCCGGTAACGTTGGCGGCGGGGGCAGCCCCGCACCTACTCCCGCAGGCATTGCATGTCCACTGGCAGGTGCTGCAGGCATTGGGTATCCACTGGCAGGTGCCGCAGGCAATGTCATAGATGGTGGAGTGCCTCCAGGTAACCCCGCTCCGGGCACGGCAGCTGTCTCTGTCGGCCCAACCATGCCAGGAGGATTGACAGGTGGGTTCGGTGGAAAGAATGCACCCATATCCGGCGTCTCAGGTGTGTCCCTATGGATCCCTTCCGGTGTCCCCATCACACGGACAAGCTCCTTGAGGTGTCGGCTGACTTCCTCAAAACCGCCCTGAAGACACTGTCCAAGCTTTTCACCCTGAGTCTTGATCTCTTCCCGAACAGCTTTGACATTGTTCTCGATCGTCTCATTCCCCGACAGGGCCCACTTCCCAGCATGGGAGAATTTGTCGAATGCTTTCAACAATTTCACAATCTCGGCACTCTGGTGTGACACCGCTCCCGTCACGGCAGCAGTACCATATGTCTGGGCCTTCAACTGCTCTCGAAGCTCACTGAATCCTTTCGAGAGATCTTTGCGGGCGTCACTAACATTTTCCACAGCCAGACCCAAGTCCTCTGTCAAGGAGGCGATCTTGGAAGCGCAGTCACGGATGTTCTTTGCCAGAGCATTACTTACCATCAAGACTGACTTCTCAGCTTCTTCCGGCAATGCCTCCAATGGTGGTATCTCTGCTCCTGGAGGAACATCCTCATCCAAACCTGGTCTTCCATGGGCTTCGGTCGCGGCACGGCCACGCGACCGTGACCGCCCACGGTGCTCATCACCTTCTTCCCCATGAGCTCCATTGCCATGGGCACGGGCATCTCCATCGGCCGACATTCCTAGCAGTACCCGCTCAAGACGATTGCGCAGAGCTGACACTACCCTGTTCGACAGGCCCGGCTGGTGATAGAGCCGCATTCCCTGCACTCTTCAGGTCTCAAACATAAAACCATCAAAGCAATCAAACAACCAACCAACATGAGGTGCATGCTCAACAATACAAATAACTAACAAGACTGTTTCCCAAAATTCCAGATGCTACCAACATACCGGAATTTTGCGAACCAGTAGCACATGTCCCAACATGCAACCAAAGTCTGGATTCGTTTCCAAAGCAGCAAAACAGGGAAAACTGACCATTCCTCTCTACAAAACACCAAAAACAGTCACCATCCCTAAAACTAAAAAAACGAGTTCCCATGAGTTCAATGTGTACTCCCTGTTGTATGCAGCACAAACTCAAAATCAAATCGATTGACAGACATGCAAGTGTTCTGGAAATGAACCTGTCTCCGTGGTTTTGCAAGAACCCTTCAACAAGTCATTTTCACAAAAACTGCACTCGCCAACTGACAAACTGACAAATAAAAACCTAACTGCAAAACAAGGAGCATTGCACAAAACACTCAAAATTGTTTGTGTTTCATTTGTTTGTTTCGTTTCGTTTGTTTCGTTTCGTTTAAAATTGAGATTCCACATGACTGCATTCCACACTCTTACAACATGACCGCATCAAAACACTGAAATGTGCCAATCACCGATTGCACGCACTCAAGCCGCACTTTCCACCTATTTTTCTCACGCTTACCACTACTGCCAGAAACCCTATCGCCTACATCTACCAAGTCTATCACACAGCAATAGGTCACAGGTATTTCAACCTTGCAATGACCTGTGATATCTGCCTAAGATATGCTCACGCATCTCACAAATCTGCCTCTGCATTTCGGTTTCCAACTCTCTGAGATGATCACGGAACATTGCCATGATGTCTCGTTGGTTCGCATTCAGACGAACATCTTCAAGCAACGGCAAAAGCCATTCCATGAGAACAATCAGAGTCTGTACCAGTCTCAAGACGCTGGTCACCCTCTCTAAACCGATAATCCAACCAATGTAGCGTTCCTCCATTGCTTCACGTACTGGCCGGTTCTCACGACGGTTGTCCATTCTTAGTACAGATGGTATGTCGATACTTTTCTTGAGCTTAAACGCCTCGGTTCCACTCACAATCCAGTGGTTTCTCAACTTTTACTTTCAAAGACTTCTAGGTCAGTTGTCGGAGTCTCTACTGTCCAAACACTCCACTTGTGTCTCCAGGACCTACTCCCAACCTCAGCCTATCGAGATATTCTCAACGCTCATCTCCAGGCAAGTTGTCGGAGTCTTCACTGTCCAAACACCTCACTTGTGTCTCCAGGACTTACTCCCAACCTCAGCCTGTCGAGATATTCTACGCATTCCAAAACCATGTCATCTCCGGCAATCAATCGACAAGTCACTTTCAACAAATGACCTACAGCCAACATGCCACAAAAAAGAAGTGAAACAAAAACACACATCACTGCAAATCTCAGTACAGGCTGATCTCTTGACTGTGATCCTTGCCACATACAGTTCCTCTGAACCAACGACCCATGACCCTACAGTCAAGCTCCAACTCTGCATGACAACTCCACATGTCCAAATTCAAAGTTTCCCCACAGCAATGCAAACTGTCCGTTCATCACATGAGCAACGCAGACCCTCCAGGCTGCCGAAGGAACTCTTTCTTCTTTCTCTTCTGCATTTCAAACTGGGACTCAAAAACTATACCTAAGACTCCATGGTCTGCCCGATTGCTATGCTTGGACCCTGACCGGTTAAATGAACTTAACAGCCATCTCACTAATGCGGTACAACAAGCGCCCTTTGCTGTCCCACTCTTCACATTTCACAGGTCCATGCCAGCGATACTCGGTGGGTTTGGTCTTCTCCAAGATTCCACTCTCAACCTTTTGAAGGTACCCGAGCGCAAAGACTTCCATTTCCATCACCGCATAGTCTTTCTGATGGCGTTCACCCTTCAAACCTTCAGGCGTCCAATCCATAAAGTACTGGGCACGATCCACAGCCTCCTTAGGTCCCAAACGTAGACCAAAACGGCCGGAGTATTCATCTGGAAACACTTCATTGCCCTTGTTCAACTCTTCCAACTGCTTAGGCGTCAAAGCAATCCAGAGCTTGAGCGACTCCATGTTTGAAACGCACACACACAGCCACGGTCTCAGAGCTCTTGACACAAAACAGTCACAAACAGCT